TTTTTATGCAGCACTAATGTTGTAAAAACCACTTGCTGGGTTATGCATACCTTTTCATTTGTACAGTTTTGAATTCTGTAGATTGATGCTATGTAATGAGCATAGACCAGGCCCAAAGTAATCAGATTTTGTATGTATTGTTACATAGACTGCATGCTATTAATGTCAGTGAGGGTTGTGTTTCCAGTTCTTATCATTTGTAATCCCGCCCCCCTCCCTCCCCCCCATAATCCTCTTCCTCTTTTAGTTAAATGGTTACTTCAAAAAAGGGCAGGAGTGGAGGTTTGGGCAACTGGCAAAACTTGCTACTCAAAACAGATGCAGAACTATTTTGCACTGAGTCCTGCTCTCAAAACTGAACAGAGTTGGTAAGCGTTACAAGCTGTTGATCATTCAGTATTTGTGGTGTTCTCGGTGTACAAGGGGTGGGTATTCAGAAGAAAAGGACGCAGCCTGAGAGTCAAAATAGCAATCCCACCTTGCCCCACTGCTTCCCTACCCTACCTCCCTGTTGTCAAAGGGCTTGTTGGCATAGGAGCAGCCTTTGCTGAAGAAACTGGGCCGTGCGCAGGAATTAGTCCCCCTCCCCCTTCCAATTTTTGTTGTTAAGTTTTGGTTTCCTGGGGTGAGTGAGGGGGCTGCAGAAGTTAGGGCAGGGGGTATAGGGCCTCAGGGCTGTGGACTGCAGGAGTCTGGGTTGGGTATGAGGAGGGGCTCAGGGCAGGGGCCTGGGAGTGTTGGGAGGCTCAAAAGGGGGAGATATGAGGGTTCAAAATCCTGTGTGTATAGGGGTCAGTGCAGGGGGGAGGCAAGGGTGGTGTTTCAGGGAGTGGAGGGCTACCGCTGTACATAGCAAGTCTCTGTTGCTTTTCCTGTTTCCTTGGACTAGGGAGTGAAGGGAAAATGCAAAGCCTGCTGCATTCCTCACTCCTGGCTGACCAGGGGTGGGGTAGAGGAATTGGGAAAAGCAACAGAAACCTGATGTGTGCAGCTGGAGCCTGCCTTCTTCCCAAAATGGTGGGGGCAAGGGAGAGAGTACTGCAGGATTCTGGGAGCGCCCTCCCCCCCCACTCTCTCCCACTGTAACCAAGGGCCCTGGCCAGCTGACCAGAGCATCGCACTGGCTTGCTTTCACCTCTGGTTGCTATTGCACCCACTGGAGGGCTCAGGCCCCAGTAGTTGTCGAGCAGAATGGGTTAGAGGGCTAGGTTCTGCCTCTGAGATTTGCCTCCATTCCCTCTCAGCCCCCTGCCAAAATTTTGGCAAATTCAGGGCCATCTCCTCCTGTTCCCTCCTGAAAGTTACTTCCCACTCACCACATGCTGAGGTCTGCTCTGGGCAGAATTGCTGACCAAGCTCTTGTTTGCTGCTCAGAGGGTAAGAGCCAGAAATAAATCAAGCTGCCATTAACATCCTGCTAGGCCTGATGTAGGTGGGGGTGAGGGAAGTGTGCGGTAATCTTACAGCTGGGGCTGTATTAGGGAGGGGGTGGGGCTGCTTTTTATACAGGGCTGTTTGTTCAGTGAGGACTGCTCCCATCCCAACTCGCCCTCTGCCAGCAAACCAGGGGGCTAGTGCGCTTCCACTGTGTGGCGAACAACTTAACGAGGGGGATGAGGTTAAAAATAAATTCCTGCCCCTCGATGCTGTCTGGTAACAAGCTCTGAGGCAACAAAGAGATTTCTGCTCTTGAGCACCAGTGGACATGACATGTTGGTTTTTCCAGTGTTCTAATGTGACAGCAAGTGCTCCCCTACAGATGTGAGATGGGTGAAGGGAGCTGCCACATTGGGGCACTGGGAGCAGAACAGGGCATGCTCAGTGAGGGGGATCTAAGCTGTAAAAACGGAAGCCCTGAGCTCCAGTAATCACAGGGGGATGCTGGTTTCCCAATGGAGGTGCACCATGGTGGGGACAGGCTTTACCCAGAGCAGTGTTTGAAAACATGATGGCCATAAGCAAAGTACAGGGGAAAGTGCACAGATGTTGCATTTGCCAAATGGGATAATTCTGCTTAATGGCTTTCTGGTATTTTGGAACAGCCACAACTGCAGTCTGAAGATGGGACGTGGTGAATAGCCTATATAGACACCAATTTATTTTAGACCTTACTGTATTAGCAAGCACATTACTAATTTTCCCACACCTGTGGTGTAATATATTATCTGTAGTTAATTTTTCTGGGTAGTGCCCTGTGGGGGGAAAAAAAAGTCAGCAGCTTTTTATATTCAGTAGCTAAACTCATTCACGTCCATGGTCCTTGTGCTCTAGTTTGAAACTCCAAAAAGAGAAGTGTCCCCCTTCCTGTCTTTGGGAAGATACTTGAAAACTAAATTAATCAAGCCCAGTTTTGAGAACAAGTCACAGACAATGTTCCACTGCAGTTTGTGTTATGTGCAATTGCCATGCCCAAAGTGGCTCTTCCTCTGAGGGCTACATCTACACTGCAGGCTTCTTGTACAAGAACTGTTTTGCACAAGAGCATCCATGGCAGTGTGGATGCTTTCTTGTGCAAGAACGCTCTGATGGGCATTTTAGCCATAGTGGTTCCTTTTGCCAGACACCTGTTCCCTGTCCACACTGCCTTCTTGTGCACAAGGGCTTATTCCTCGTGGGGAGAAGAATAACTCTTGCGCAAGAAGCCCTCTGTTCCAACACTTTACTGTAAGTTTACTTGTGCAAGAAACATGGGTGCAGTGTAGATGCTCTGCAGGTACAGCTGTTCTTGTGCAAGAAGCCTGCAGTGTAGATGTAGCCTAGCTGGGCTGATTGCTACTCCTTACAAGACATGTCATAACCGGCTGTTTAGTAAAGCCTGTTCAGAGGTAGCCTTACAACTCACCTCCATGGCTAGTTTACCTGGAACTTCACTGGGGGGTGGAGGGGCAGTGCATTTGATAACCTCTTAACATTACCATTGAAAAATGTGGAAAAAAACACTTTCTAAAGTGCTGACATCAGCTGAGATTTTTGTAAAGAACAAGTGCTTATTTTCATCTTTGAAAAGTGTCTTTTGTACAGACAAGTAGTTTCTCTGAATTCTCTGGGAAAAAAAATCACTTGTCAAATGTCATCTTGTCCCTGTATGTATGTTTCTTCAAAATATACAACACCCAATTTGGCGCTCAGTCAACATAAGCATTTTGTGCATTTGGCTCTGGGACTGTTAATGTGGCTGATCTACTCAGAGCCTCTACTAGGCTATTGAGGCTGGCAAAATAAGTTAGTTACAAAACAGGCAGGACTCAGGGGAGCTGTGTGGTACCAGAAAACAGTGGGTGTGTGCCATTCAAACCATCTTCCACTGAGTGGGGAATGTTAATTTTTTAAATTTTTTAATTGTACTTGTAATTAACTGTTGCTGTGTACTAAATCCTCGTTACAAGTCCTGAATAAAAACAAATGAAGCACACAGAGTCTCCTGTGATAACTTTAGCAGTGGTCCAGCATGTTTCACACAGTTGCCTACTGATAAGCAACATACATACAGCACCCTGTCTAGGAGTTTGACTACTGTTTTTCCTAGGCTTGCAGTTGAGTGCTTTGTGGAAGTCGGGAAAACCAAATCCATTCTCCAGCATTGCAGGGGCATATCAGAGCCATTGCCCAGTTGAGTCCAGGCAACAACAGTGCTGAACACAGAGAGCTACAGCATGGGATTTCCCTTTTGTCACTGCTCAGCCTTTGGGCCTGGACTTCCTGAAATAGTTGGGCTCACCTTGGCCCTTGCAATGGAATAAGATACTGTTGCTCCATACCAGCCCCCAGTGGTAATAGCACTGGCCTAAGCACTGTCCCCTTCCTGCAGTTCAGTAATGGGCAAACTATGCCAGTAAGGGGGCCATAAGGGAGACCGGCTCCCAGGAGGATGTGCCAGTTGCTCTTCAAATGCTCTTGCTGTACATGCATGTCATGTTAGTAATATCAATAGAGGAAAAAAAAACTATCTAGGTTGAAACCAGAGGAATCTGGTTACCCTATGTGGGAGCAAGAGAAAAAATAAGACCCTGCCAGGCCCCCACACCAATGCTGAAGTAGGAAGGGTATAGCACAGAGCTATTGCTTGCAAAAGCCATCAGTTGGTATGTGCCCCCAGTTCTAAGTCAAGCAAACCCAACAGCCTTGCTGTCTCAAAGAAGGGAAACAATGTGTTACAGGAGCCAAAGGGAATTGTGGCTTGAAGGTCTATAGTTGAAGCACTGGGAGGCCAAATGTAAAACGTACCTTTTAGTTGCCATAAAGTAACAGCAGCATGGCCCTGTGTGAATGGAGGAAAGCATCTCTAAAGTACCAGCCTAGCAACCCAAAAGGTATCTAATTTACATTTAGAAGTCTCTTTTACATCAACATGGTGCAGTAAACCCTTACACTTCATCCATTTGGTTGTAAGGGTGCCCAACATACAGCCCACCAGAGCTTCAACAGCAAGCCAATTGCTTACTGATTAGCATTGTCATGTTTACATAATTTTAGTTTACACACTATACTGTACATAGAAACAACCTCTACATACATACAGGATGTTAAATATCAGTTAAGAATTCTTGAGGTTACTCGACTGTTCAATTATCAGTCGACTATTCTATAGTGCCTGGGGGGAGGAGATGGGGGGCTGGCAGCTGGTGCAAGCCAGAACTGAGATGGACTGCCTGCATGCTTGCTGCCTAATACACTTTAAATGCAGAACTGCAGCAGGGTAGGGCCCAGACCTGTTTCAAGCTAGGACTGAGCCAAAAATGTACTGGCAAGTAGAGGGGGAGAATGCATGTAATATATAGCTTTTGCTTATCAGTTAATTGACTACACGGTTCCATCCCTAACATACATACAAAACAAGCTCAGCTGAAATATAAATCAGTGCAGGTTTCTTTTTAAAGATTTTGCATGTTTGGCCCATACCAGATTGAGACCCAAATTGGGCTAGTGCTTTGTAATTCACAAGCACAGCACAGCTCAGAGTG